CGAGGCAGCACTGGCACGATGGCGGAAGTGGGCACGAGAGCGGAATGGGTCAACTGTTGATCATTTCATGGACTACACGCTGTATTGGGAGAACGACACCGAGAATTTTATGGAGGCGATATTTGTCGATGAAGATCACCGCTTTCTCCGTCCCGAGGCCCGACGAATCCAAAGCTCTGGGCTAGAGCAGCAGCGCCAAGGTCGCTTGGGTATCCATATTGCCGAGTTGGCTGAAGCAGCTCGGAAGAGGCAGGCCGAAACGGCTCATAAGAAGGCTGTCAGGGATGCACAGCTTGACGGGGTTGAGCTGCAGTTGGATCCCGCGGTCTTCGAGAAGATGAAGAACACAGAACTGGCACTGCAGGTGAGACTGTGGCGACAGATTGACACGAAAATGCCAGCGGCTGGAAAGACCAACACGAAACAGGAGATGATAGATGCTATATGGGACTGTCTCGAGCGCCTTGAGACCTTAGAATTGACCACTGCAGGCAACGCGCTGCCAGATGCTGGAGATCAAAGTAGCCGATAGCGGTCATCTCCACTGCTCGACAATTCTAATTTTATCCCTCTGGCCAAAGTTTATCTTCAGCATTGTATTATTAGCCAAATGTATCATTTGAACTTTCTACGCAGCTCATTTTGCTCAATGCACTCGTTACATGAAATTGTTAATGATCGGTGACTAAGCAGGACCGTGACATCAACGGGCGGTGGCGGGTACCACACAGGGGCAGATATAAAACATACAACAGCTTGGCCCCATGAATTACCCCGGAAGCGGTCGATAATGTAATGGATGAGGTCGTCGTCGATGAAGCAAGCACCATGGAGATCACAAGGATGCTTGGTGCGAATTTCCTTGACGGTGTTTCCAAGCTTCAGATCATCTTGCGAGTAGTGGTTGATGTTGGGAACCTATAATCGGTGAATAGGATACAACGAAAGGAACATGTAGATACCTGTGTTCTGTATAGCATCTCATTGTCCAAACCTGGTGAAAGCGGCTAGGGATAGATGAGTTGAATCAATAAGAAACGCTGACCCGTTTTGGACGACGACGAAACTTCTCCATTTCATCCAAATCAAAGGTGACATTGACCGTATTGAGACTTTTCGACTTGACGACTGCTGCTTTGAGCTGGTGAACGATAGCATTCCAGTTGGCGTTGGTACTGATAACTGGCGCCTTTTTGACGCCTCCACTGAAAACCATTTTAGAAAAACAAGAAACAATTGTGTATGGAAATTGTACGCACGAAAGACCAGTCCAATGGAGACTAAATGATGGGCCCGACTCTGTGACGGCGTAGACGTTGTTTCGCTCATGAGGAGTGAGCGCGAACTCGATAAAGTCACTGCGCGACGTCGATATGACGTCGACAGCCTCGGTGGTAGGTAACTTTTGTTCTCGGACTTTGAATTTCGCTTGTTGGCCTCGTCGAAGAACAGCCTCAGCTTCCTTCCATTGCACTGTTGAGTTGACGAAGAGAGGGCGATAGGCTATTGGAACAGTCAGCCTTTGGCGCAAAGAAAAGATATGAGCACGCACACTCTCAGTGTGACGATGATCTCCTCCGCATCCGCAGTGAGCCTGAGATTGGCTGCAAGGTCTGTAGGAGCTGTAAAACGGTGAGTAAACAGTTGGCGAGGACAAAGACATGTACCAGAACCAGTTCCTACGTTGTTAGGAGCAGGGTTGAAGGCTCCAAGACCAGTCTGGTAGTTTGGCGCAATACCAGGAGGCATGTTGACAAATTGGCGCGCCATATAGTCGTAGTAGGGACGAGCATAGCCCAGAGTTGGGGCGACAACGAGTTCATGGAAGGCTGTCCCTTGTTGGAGGTTGTTTGGTTCGAGCCAGGTACGCGGTGCATCGCGAGGCGGAGGTGAAGACGAGTCGCGAGGCGGAGACGAAGGAGGAAGGCCAGAGTCGCTCATAGTGAAGGTAGTTGAGTGGATGAGTGCGTCCTTGAGGCCTATATATGACTGTAGCGCAAAACAAACTCTCAATTTGTGGCCTGTCTGTGCCTTTGTTGCCCAACTTTCGAAGACGGTTCCTACGCTGGGGATGTCGGTGTAGTCTCTTTCTCTCTCCATCTGGGTAAATTGGAAGCTTCTGGGATGGGACTCGGAGGCGCATCGGTTGGAGGGGACTACATGGCGGTCGAAGGTGAAGGGAGCTCTGCCAGCAACTGCCGCCTTCCGCCGCGCCGGCCATCAGGCACGTGCGGCTGAGAAACCTTTTGACATTTTCACGAAATTATGCAAACGGCTGTAACTTCAAGTTAAAATCTCGATCTCATGCCGCTGCTGACGGGGCTTGGACGGCCCTCGATTACCTCGTGGTTTCCCCCTCCGTATTTAATGGCATCGAGCCGTTGCTACGTCGCCACCTGTCTTTCTCCCACCGCCGCGTGCGACTTTACTACTTGATAGTACCGCTCTCGCCGCTGGATCCATGGTTTCCGCCAGCTACTTCGACCAATTCCCTGGCTTCACCCGCGACCCCTCCGCATCGCTGCGGCACGAATTTGAGCGGCTGGCGGGGCAACGGGGGTGGGGCAAGCCGCGCAGACAGAGCGAGTGGGCGCTGTGCGCGCGAATGGAATTCGAACACTACTTCGGCGCGGACGCACGGCCCGACCTCGCGGCATGGCGCGCGATGATCGCCTTCTGCGGGTTCACCGAGGTCTGCGACTCCATCAAGAAGTGCAAGGAGGTGAGTGCTCTAGTTCGGCGCCGCTAGCTGAATCCTGTGTTGAAGTATCGGGTAGCGAACCCGAGTCTCACCGGCCGGATCACGTCAGCCGCCGGACCGCCATCACCGACGCCGATGCGTCGGGATTGTTCTACAATATTCTATTGACTCATTAGCTAGAACCTACCAGAAAGATTAGAGTACTATAAGTACTGCTGTATCACTCTACAATAATCATTGGTTTTCCCCTTCTTCCTTCAACAGGTTATGGGCCCCGCCTAGCCTGAACTGTTAACACACGCACCAATCCTCGCCTGCATCATCCTCCCACTCCGCGGAACTCTCACGCTATGACGCACACTCTCACGCCTCTCATCAGCGCCAGCGCATCAGCACTCTTGCTGCCTAGCTACACCCCGGAGACAGCCCAACGAGCGCCTTTGGGACGGACCGGACAGCGAGTACACAGCACCCCCACGCCGGATGACCCCACGGCATCTCCAGCGCGTACCGCCTCACCGCACAGCCATCGGCCCGGGACCACCCGCGATGCGCTCCACTCTCTTGGCAACAACTCCCACGCACACTCGGACGGCAGCACTGCGCCGTCGCCAGCAGTCAGCGGCTCGGGACCGCCTCCACACTTCCGGCCGGATGCTCGTCTCGACACGGCATCGCCCGCGCCCAACTCCTCGCATCAGCATACCAGCGGACTCAGCGCCAACGCCGCCAGTCGCCAGCTCACCTGTCACCATTGCGGTCGGCCCGGCCATCGAGAATCTCAGTGCCGCGACACGCACATCGCCTATACGGCCCAACAAAGATCAGCGAATTATCACCGCACGGTCCGCCACCGGCGTCGACGCGGGAATCCATCACCGGCTCGAGAATCCTCGCCGGACACCGCCCTAATGGCCAGCGGGCAGCAGCCAACGCTGACCCGGAGCTCCTGGCTGCTCGACAGCGGAGCCACCACCCACATCGTCAACAACAAAGCACTTTTCCACACATATACGCCGCTACAAAGCCATTATGTAGTCGGAATTGGTAAGCTTCCAGCACTGGGGGAAGGAACGGTACGACTGCAATTCAAAATTGGGTCTAAGGTAAACAAGGTCACGCTCCTCCGCGTCCTCTACCTTCCGGCTTCACCCCACAACATCATCTCACTCGGACGACTCCACCGCGCAGGCTATCGCCTCGAATTCCCCGATGACAGCGGCGACATCATCATCGCCAAGAATGGGCATCGGCTAGCCCACTGCCGGAACATCGGAAATGTCTACGCCCTTGGCAACATCACCCCAAACTGGACGACTGCCACACCAGACAGCGACGACGAGGATTACAATTGGCAACCGGCTGTACCAACAGCACCACGGCAGGACCAGGGGGAGCAAATCACCCCAGTCAATGGCAAGCCCGGCATGGCCCCCGAGGCTATGGCCACGGCCCATTCGACACCACCGCGTAGCAACGCGCTGATCCCGACCACGCCGCCATCACCTCTAAGTTCTCTCACCCCATCTCCACCTACGTCAACTCATGCACGTCCGGAGCAACGCGCACAGCCAGCGAAAGCCCCGCGAGACATCAGTAGCCAAATCACCACCGACAATATTATACTCGGGCCACGCACAAAGAAATATGCGAAGCCCGGAGCAGCACTTGTCACCACCGAAGACGCCACTTACTTCGGCGGCCTTGCGATTGAAGCGCTGTCAGCGCAATAACTCTCTCACGAGAGGCAGTTCCCATCTGCGAAATACGGACACCCCAACTCAGCTCGACTCGTGTTCGAGGGGGAGTGTTGAAGTATCGGGTAGCGAACCCGAGTCTCACCGGCCGGATCACGTCAGCCGCCGGACCGCCATCACCGACGCCGATGCGTCGGGATTGTTCTACAATATTCTATTGACTCATTAGCTAGAACCTACCAGAAAGATTAGAGTACTATAAGTACTGCTGTATCACTCTACAATAATCATTGGTTTTCCCCTTCTTCCTTCAACATCCTGACGCGTCTGGCAGTTTTTGCGGGCGAACGCATTCATCAATATATTTGACATGATCGAAGCCAAGGCAAAGGGCATCACACCGTTCAACCGCCAGTCGCTGGGGGCGCTGCGCAACTACTCGAAGAAGAAGAAGAAAATATTCCCGCGTGGAGAGGCAAAGAAAAACCCGTTCCTCCGCATTTTACTGGTCCGAATGAGCGATTGATCATGAGTGGGCAGTTCAAGGATTCGTGTAATGCATTCACTGTTGCTGTACTATGAGCGGCCTTGCACACGTAAAATTATGCTCCAGCTTTACACTAGAATCATTTTCTCAGTCAAATTGTACTCAAAGGACTCGAAAACAACTCACTGCGCTTTCCACTCGCCCCTGTTCCCGAAAGCCTTTGTGCAGTTGTTTGCGCTACAACCAAATGTTACGGGCGGATGCGGCCGGTGCGGGACTACTGGCACCAGGGGTACCGTCGGCAAGACGAACGGCGGCAGGAGCGGACGCTGCGACGGGAGGGCGATGTCAATGCCGTTTGGAAATGGAATTATTGGAGTATCGACAGTGCATTGATCCATGCGACCCGGTTCGCGATACCACTCCGCCACGGCGTCGCTATCTTGGAACCAGCAGTGTTCCTCCTCCATGTGTGACCGCAGCGCGACAGAGTCGGAGAACCGCGCTGGGCAGTCGACACACCCAAAAAGCGTATTGGCGACAGTGGGTGGCTTGTGGTAAGGAGTTATTCCGGCCTCTTCATCGCGCAGAGCGTCATGTGGGCGCGCACGGCAGGCGCCTAGAAGGTAGCCGATGGTGAATATGACGATGGAGCACAGGATGCCCGCTGAAGCAGCCGCCCAAGGGAGTAGGCCCGCGAGAAGACTCTGCACGCTGATCGGGCACGCTGTCACGGTCCAGAGGAGCGCGAGGGAGAGCAGCACCACGACAGTAAGGGCAGAAAGACGCGCCATAGAGACGGGAGGTGGGGACAGAGCTGGCGGAGGGCCTTAGGCGCGCACCGTCGTTTATGTGGCGGCCGTGTGTGTGGCCCTGGGGGCTTATCCATGGCAACTGGGTGCCTCATCATGATGGGGCGGCCCCGTGGTGCAGCCGCCGTGCCGTGCCGCTGCTGTATGTAGCGCCCGCCGGCGTTCGAATCGCAGCTTCCAACGGGCGTCGGCGTCTTCTGCGCAGCGTTGCCAGGGAAACACGGGGAGATGTGGGCGCGGTGAGAGTGAAAGGTTGCAGGGCATTGTACGAATAGCAGGCGCGTGTGCTGTTGCCCTTGATACACAGTAGAAATACCAAGCCAGATGGACGTCGAGACCAAGAGTGAAGCGTTGTCACATCATGACTGCGGTTGTCGGCCCGGACATTCGTGACTGATCGTGACGCAGCGTGATCCGACGTCCTCCCGCAGCCACGTCATCAGCGACGAAAAATTTTCTGCGCGACAGGGTGGACGGTGGCGCACGCCGCATGCGCCTTCCAGGCGAGCAACGTGCGTGGTTCGATTCGTGCTGCCAGTGCTTATCGGCGATTCTCCGCAGACGGCAGCCCGTCCAACGTCCTTCCAGCGCTGCTCGCAGGCTCTCGAGGCTGTTGGTGGCCTGTTCGCGGGAAGAGGACGACGCTAGTGTTGCGCTTGTGTGCAATGGGTCTAGGCCAGGGCCCCACGCGAAGGTTTTAATTTTCCCCTAGTCCCGACTCCCGATCGGACTCGCTCCACTCGCCTCACAGCCTACTGCTGTTAGCCTCCCTCCCTGGCCCCCGTCTGCCCGCACTCTCGGCATGCCCGTGGCGCCATCGCGCCTTCTGGGCCGGACGCCCCACCTCTATCGCTGCTTCTGGCGCGCGTGCTTGGACAAACGCAGTCGATGAGCTCGGGGTCCGGCTCGGCGCCGTTTGCGCTATCTATCTGTAGTCTGCCCAACTATCGATCGCCCGGCGCAGGCAGCTCGGGCAGGGCTGCGGGCGTTGGGGGCGGCCTCGGGCTCGGCGTCGGGCAATCGCCCGCGGGCCCGGGCCCCGAAGCCCGATCGCGTCGAGGGACGGCGTCTGTCACGGAGACTGTCGAGATTTCTTTTGGCGTTGCTTGCTCGGTATCCGGTCGTCGATACGCGATTGGCGAGCCTGCGCGCTCGTGCCCGCGTTCCCTCCGCTGGTAGCTATCGCTCTCGTCCCGCGGGTGCCGATCCCGCGCCCATTTCAGCAAACAACAACAGCAACAGCAACAGCACCGCCAGCGCGGATGGGATCGCGGCAGCCAGGTACCGTCGCGCACAATTGTATGCTGCTGCTGACCGCATCTGTCGCAGCACCGAGCTGGGCTACTCGGCTGCCCAACATTGGTATCGCGATTCTATTCTCCACTGGCGGGCGGCTCGCACGACGTCAGAGGCCTGCCCAGCTATTTCGGGACGCGCGCGACGGTGATGTCCTCGCCCATGCAGCCTGCCATGCCATGAATACCGTGAATAGCTGCTGAACACCGGCGACACGCAGAGGCCTGCAGCTCGGCTGAGCTAATAGCCTGGAAATACGACCCGTCAATTAGCCTGCCAACGCAGACGCCATCGCTCGCCAGCCACCCCATCGCGTAACGCCGAAGCGTGCCCTTTACGGACACTTCCTGCTGCCGCGTTCCCGCCGGCTTCTGTTCGCTTTGTCGTATTTTTTGCCTTTCGATCGGCGTCACGCTTGCACGCTGCGGTGGCGCATATATAGAGGACACACCATGGCACAGCCGCACTTTCCCTCCCTTTCGTCCTTCCTCCCCCTTTTCGTTCTCGCCATGGACGACAACGCCTCAGCGACGGTGGCCTCCCGCGACTCGGCCGTCCCCCACGGCTCGGCCGCGCACCTCCACCCCATCGAGTCGGCCCCCACCCGCACCGACTCCAACGCGGACAAGGACGAGCAGGACAACGACGGCGAGAACGACGAGAAGACGGGCAACACCGCGGTCGCGTGGGACTGGAAGTTCTGGTGCATCATCGCCTCGCTCGCCATCACGCAGCTCCTCACCGCCATCGAATTCGTGCGTCATCTTGTGCTCGCTGTCGTCGTCTGCCCTGCGCTAACACGTGCCGCAGACCTCCGTCGGCACGGCCCTCCCGGTCATCACCCAGGACCTGAGCGGGCAGAACTATATCTGGATCGGCTCGGCGTACAACCTCGCGTCCACCGCGCTGCTGCCCTTCTGCGGGGGCCTCGCCGGGGTGCGTCACACCGTTTCTGTGGGGCCTTTCATAAATCAATCCAGATCTTCGGCCGGAGAGCGGTGATGCTCGCCGCCATCCTCGTCTTCATGATCGGCAGCGCGCTCTGTGGCGCAGCAACATCGATGAACTTCCTCATCGCCGGGCGAAGTGCGTTGTCCCCGCTTTCCGCTTGCGGTAACTGACTCCCGCTTTCTGTCAGCGGTACAAGGTCTGGGCGCCGGGGCCACCGTGTCGCTCATCCAAATCATCATCTCCGACATGATTCCCCTCAAGTCGCGCGGCATCTTCAGCGGCATCATTGCGACCTCGTTTGGCATCGGCGCCGGCGCGGGGCCTGTGATTGGCGGCTCGCTCGCGGGAGAGCGGCCACTGGCGCTGGCTGTTCTACATGAACCTGCCGATCGGCGGGCTGTGTGCGGTCATGATACTGCTGTTCGTCCGCCTGCGCGTGCCCGATGTGCCGCTGCGGGAAAAGCTCGAGCGGCTCGATATCATGTGTGTCCCATTTCTGGTCTGATTCCTTGGCCTAATGGGGTGCCTAGTGGAAATGCGATCATCGTGGCATCGACAACGTCGATGGTGTTGGCGCTCACGTGGGGCGGCACGGGTGTATGCGTGGGACTCGCCGCGGCGTGCTGGCGCCGCTGATAGTCGGCTTTGTCGGGCTTGCGGCGCTGTTGGCGTACGAGGCGACTATTCCGAAGCATCCCATCGTAGGTGGTCGTTCTTCAGCATGGCGGTTGGTTGATGAATAGATCCCCATGTCCTTGATGTCGACCCGCACACGGCGTTTAGCGGCTATGTGCAGAACTTCCTCTCTGCTGTGGCTCTGTCTGCTGTTGGCTGTAGGTGCTCTTCCCTTGTCTTATTCCTTTGCTTACGTTGCAGACTGGCTACCAGTGTACTTCCAGGCCTGCAAAGGCGCCTCGCCCATCGCGTCCGGCGTCGACGCCTTCGGGATCACCTTCACCGTTGCGCCGCTGGCCGCCATCACCGGCGCGCTGATCAACCGCACGCACCGCTACCGCGCGCCGATGTGGTTCGCGTGGGCGCTGATCGTGGCCGGCGGCGCGCTCCTGGGGACCGTGCACGTGGACACCCCCCCGCATGCGCGTGATCGGCTACGAGATCCTGCTGGGCTCCGGCATCGGCATCATCTACGTCGCGGCGTACTTCCCGGTGCCTCGCGCCGATCCCGCCGCACCAGACGACGCAGGCGCTCGCGTACTTTTTCTTCCTGCGGCAGTTTGCGCTGGTTTGTCGTCTTCCCGTTCTGGGGGTACAGCCGCTGATGGTTGTGACAGATCTGGGGCGTCACGATCGGCGGCACGATCCTGCAGAACAAGCTGACGTCGACGCTGCCGGACTCGTTCCTCGCCGAGTTCCCCGGGGGCACGCAGATCGCGTTCGCGATCATCCCGTCGCTGGGCAGCCTGCCGCCGCCGCTGCGCGCGGCCGTGCGGGACTCGTTTGCGCACGCGTTCCGGCTGCTGTGGCGCGTGCTCGCGGGGCTCGGCGGCGCGGGGCTGCTCAGCAGTCTCGTGATGAAGGGGCTGCGGCTGCACACGGAGGTGGGACGGGACGTATGGCCGCGAGGAGGGCCGGAAGGATGTCGAGAAGCGGTGAAGCGTAAAATGAACGCTTACTATCATGTGTATTAGTCTTTGTTTCTCTGACACGTTACTGAAAGTATGATCTATTTGTCGACACCCACACACGTCGCCCGTCCCAACGCTACGTCGCGCTCCGCTCGCCAAGTCTCGCGTCCAGGTGGTCATTAAATACCTCGTTTTGGTGGCTGTACATTAATCAAAAAAATATTTTCACTAGCAACGCGCAGCGGGAAGGAAAATTTTATTGATCCTGACCGTGGGTTTCGGGCAAATCTGTCCGTGGTGTCATGTGCACGGCGTGATCGTGTAGATGGCAGCACATGCTTCGGGCAAATCTGCCCGTGCTATGGACTGGTGCGTAATCCCTGTCATCCCCCAACCCTTCCAGCATGCTGGGAATAACATTGACTTTGCCTTTCCTTGGAAGGCTGCTAGGCTGTTGTGTGCACACTCTATCAAAAGCTGCCCGGAGCACATTGGTGAACATGATGATGAGATCTGGGCTTGCGGATTTGTTTAAATCTACGGCTCATGCTGATTGTTTCATCAGTCAGAACTGTGATTGATGACCTGTCTTCTTGCAGCTCCGTTCCAGAGATATGGGAGTTACTGACAGCCTTCGTTGATGGTAACCCGCCCTTAAGAGATGTGGGAAGCCGGCCCTAAAGTCAATTTGTTAGGTGACCCGACAGACCTAAACAGCAACATAGCACATAGACAATGGAAGAGCTCCATTTGGGGTAATATACAGCTCTATTTATGGTAGTGGTATCAAGGCATGGTTACTGCTGTGTGAATGAAATAGATGGTCAAGTGCAATAAAAATGATCTTGACCTATTAATCTCGATATACTGCAGCTATGAGAGCTACAGTCAACTGAATTAACCCAAAAAAACAAAATAGCACATCCTATAGCTCTATTTATAGTAGTGGTATCATAGCATGGTTACTGATGTGACATTGGATGGTAAAGTGCAATAGAAATAAATTCAAGTTAGCCAATTAATGTAGTTATTAGGGCTATACTCACATTGGGGATTCGTCAAAATCAATGGTCCAGATTGTCTGTAAATCAAGGCTCTTGATTTTCATGCACATGACCAGGAAATTTCCTTATTTGTCATGTGCATCTACATTGGGGGCCTTGATTTGGCGGCAATTAGCAGGCCATTTTTAGCACCAAATCTCTGCCATATAAATACAGCTTTGGGCCACCGGTTTTGCCAAATCCCGAGTGTAATTGAAAATTCAATTTGTTAAAAGTTGTATAAAAAAATGAGAAAATTAGTCCTGGTGTTTCTGAAATTTAGGGGGGGTGACTATGGGGTTTGAATATTTGAATACTAATCAAAAACCAATTTACAGCACATTGTTGGCCTGGCAACTCAGTGATGTGATGTACTAACTTGTTGATGGCTGATGTAACTTTGATAATGTCTTAATACAAGGCAGATTGACTACTTTAGCATGATTTGAAGGTCCAGTAAAAGTGGGTCAAATTCAAATTTTCAGATAATCTGATCAAACTATACAGTACGGGGGTCTCTTCCATTCAATTCAAATTTTTCAATTGCAACACATTGTTGCCATGGCAACTCATTGAAATCAACCACATGATTATTGATGTCAAGGATGATTAGTTGGCAATGAAATGGATTGAAAGGTGTAATAAAAAGAGATATAAATTCTAATTTTCAAGTTAAATGATGGCCAAATGTGAAACTGATGGAAATTTCAAATATTGATTATCAAATAGTTTCCAAATATTATAGGTGCATTGTTGACATAGCAACCCAGTCAGATTGGTGATCTGATCACACACACAAACCAAAGACATAAAGTAGTACCAATTGAAATCTTCAATTAACTCATGTTACACTAAAGCTATTAGTGTTCACTAAAAGTCAAGGATATTTTTCACATTTGTTTCAATATCATGTGCAGTGCATTGTTGGCTACCAGTGGACAAATTGTTAGTAGTTGGCAAGATAAGTAATTAATAGACAGATGCCTGATTCAAGATTTGAGCAATCAATGCCAGGCAACAACAATATCAAGATATCTGTCTCAAGTAACATCAGTAGGAATGTAGGTCCTGGGGCCTTCTTGCAGATCCTGATGAATTATGTACATTGATTCCTATCGGTGGACAAAATGACGGTCGCTTGTCGATCATGTAGGTAATTGATGGATAGGTGTCTGATAGGGTTTCCCTGACAGGGAAAATAGTAAGTATCATATAAATGAGAAAATCATAGCGGAAACCTATGATAATGTATGGAAGCAAATTGGTAACACTTTATGTTTTTCTTAATTTCAAAAGAAAAGATATGAAATTGATGTTTTATGTAATCACCTCACAGATCAACATGGGCCTCTAAGAGTTATTTGAGAGGAAAAATGCTCTATATAGGCATGTGTGGTAGAGTTTTCACAGACAAATTTGTGGATAAGATAACTTGAAGAACCATAGGGATCTGCTTATGTAAGCAAGGGCCAGAGTGGCCTACTCGTCAGACAATAGTCCAGGCCTGCTCAGATGATGCAGTATGATTGTTTGATTATGGTTGCCCAGAGCTGTTGATTCTGGGCCCATCCCAGGCACGGATCAACAAGCAAATCACCCGTGATATCCGCCTTGTTTTCATTGCTGCCATCTGATTCCTTGGCTAGCCAGCTGGCTCCCTCCTTCTTTCCATTTGATTGGCCTGCTTTTGTGCTCTGGAGTGTCTGCCGCAGGACGGAGCTGAGCAGCGGCTGTTGAGGTAAGGATTAGGCCCTGCCATATCCGATAACGCGGCCACGGGGTGATCAGAATGTCTTGATGTTGGCTGCATCGGGAGCCCGGGGGGAAATGAGCAGCTTGGCTGCTGCGTTGGTGACGTGGGCACATGGTTGCAGTTGGCAACCGGCGTGATGAGGCCGTCCGCGCGTGCAGGAATGTCTAGTTCGTCGGTACTCGGTGGAAATAATTGCCCGTGGCCGCGCTGGGTGGATCACATCATCCTGCTCCCGCAGCAGCTCTCAATGCCTCCTTGCCTCAGCTGTGCTTCCCTCTTGAGGCTTTCTCTTCTGTTGTTGTCCATTTTCCCCCGTGAGCCGTTCATTTTTTATTGTTTCTTTATACTGCATCTTTTTGGTTCCTCAGCTCCTCCCTCCCCCCGCGTTGCTCAGGCACAGACCCCGACAATCGAGACTCCGCGTGCAGCGTGTCAGGTGCGCCATGTGATCGCGTGGACACCTGGTGCCGTTGCCATGCACGCGCGATGATCGCGGCACATGATTGCAGCAACGTCCCGGGCCCGTGGGATCGCGGGCCAGCTGACGCTTGGCGGGCGGTTACTTAAACCCGCTGTCGCCGCCATGATCCTTACCCTCCTCCCTCTCCATTTTCGCCCCCTGCCTCCTTTGCCGCCCACAGCCATTGCCTCCGCCACGGTGCGTCGGCCTGCTGCCATCCCGGCTCGTGTACTGACATTTTGCAGCATGATCGCGCCCGATCCGCCCGCGTGACGGTCCGATAGCGCGTGGCTTGGCTCCTGCTTGACGCCCGCCTTGCGCGCCGTTGCCGACCCGGAGTTGCCCGCGCCGGGTGCTGCCCCTCCCCGTTCTCTCGAGCTTGGGCTCTGGCCCCGCTTCCTCGCGTGGGTACCATGGTGCGTTGTGTTGATGCCCTCGTCGTGCTGTCTAACCGCCTCGATGGTATAGCCGTGATCGAAGAGAGCGCCTGGCCGTTGAGGCCGATTGCACGTGATCTACCCTATGTCTTCCTGGACTGACGCCGCCGCTTTGCTCGCCGTTGCCGACTCACGGTCGCCCACGCTGGGCTGGACCTCGTTCCCACTGCTCCTCCGGGCCGCGGCCTTCGGCGCCCGACAGCACGTGCTGCTGCCAAGCCAAGCCGCGTAACGCGAAGCACGTCACACACGGGCGTCGTCCATTCCCCCGTTTCCCGCTGCCCCCACAGACGACTCGTGCTGCCCGCCCGGCAGGGCAGGGCCTCCCGTCGTTGCCTCCAGGTATGTCCTCCCGTTGCGCTGAGGCGCTTCGTAGCCGCTGTTCGCTGAAGCGACCGTTGTCGCTGGTCGTCTGGGCGGGGGCTGCGAGAAACGGAGGGCGTTGTCGCCTCAAAGTGCGTCCTCCCGTTCTGCCCGTCACCGTGTGTTGCGCTAACTGGCTGTTCTTTCTATTCGTAGCCGTTGTTCGCCGTAGCGACCGTTGTCGCTGGTCGTCTGGGCGGGGACTGGGGAAACAGAGGCGATGTAGCTTCCAGGTGCGTCGTTCGGTCCTGCCCGTCACCCTGCGTTGTGCTGATGGGCCTTCTTTCGACTCGTAGCCATTGTCTGCGCGGAAGTGACCGCTGTCGTTGGAGGTTGGATGCGAGGAAGGGAGGGAGGCGTTGGCTGAGACGGGCCGGAGGTGAAAGGCGGCCGGAGGTGCGTTTACTTTTGAGCCGTGTGTCCCCCCGGCTGACTGCATGTCTTAGCCCCAGACTGGGCCGGCTTCGGTGTAACGAGGCTGCGTTCGGCGCTGGCTCCGCAGAGGGTGGGGACACTCGAGCGGGGGGTTAATTGGCGCTGGAGTCGACATACTGATGTAAGGCTAGTAGTGGGAATGAAAAGCACTTTGTCCCGCGTGCACGTCGGCGCCGGGGCATCCGTTCTTTCTGACTCGGCCGTCCCCCACGGCTCGGCCGCGCACCTCCACCCCAGCCCCCACGCGCACAGACTCCAACGCAGACAAGGACGAGGCCGATCCACCGCGCTGCTGCCCTTCTGCGGGGGCCTCGCCGGGGTGCGTCACATCGTTTCTGTGGGGCCTTTCATAACTCAATCCAGATCTTCGGCCGGAGAGCGGTGATGCTCGCCGCCATCCTCGTCTTCATGATCGGCAGCACGCTCTGTGGCGCAGCGACGTCGATGAACTTCCTCATCGCCGGGCGAAGTGCGTTGTCCCCGCTTTCCGCTTGCGGTAACTGACTCCCGCTTTCTGTCAGCGGTACAAGGTCTGGGCGCCGGGGCCACCGTGTCGCTCATCCAAATCATCATCTCCGACATGATCCCCCTCAAGTCGCGCGGCATCTTCAGCGGCATAATCGCGACGTCGTTTGGCATCGGCGCCGGCGCGGGGCCCGTCATCGGTGGCTCGCTCGCGGAGAGCGGCCACTGGCGCTGGCTGTTCTACATGAACCTGCCCATCGGGCGGGCTGTGTGCGGTCATGATCCTGCTATTCGTCCGCCTGCGCGTGCCCGATGTGCCGCTGCGGGAGAAGCTCGAGCGGCTCGATATCATGTGTGTCCCATTTCTGATCTGATTCCTTGGCCTAATGGGGTGCCTAGTGGAAACGCGATCATCGTGGCATCGACGACGTCGATGGTGTTGGCGCTCACGTGGGGCGGCACGGTGTATGCGTGGGACTCGCCCGCGCGTGGCTGGCGCCGCTGATCGTCGGCTTTGTCGGGCTTGCGGCGCTGTTGGCGTACGAGGCGACCATTCCGAAGCATCCCATCGTAGGTGGTCGTTCTTGACCGTGGCGGTTGGTTGACCAGGTGAATAGATCCCAATGTCGCTCATGTCCACCCGCACGGCGTTTAGCGGCTATGTGCAGAACTTCCTCTCGGCTGTCGCTCTGTCTGCTGTTGGCTGTAGGTGCTCTTCCCTTGTCTTATTCCTTTGCTTACGTTGCAGACTGGCTACCGGTGTACTTCCAGGCCTGCAAAGGCGCCTCGCCCATCGCGTCCGGCGTCGACGCCTTCGGGATCACCTTCACCGTTGCGCCGCTGGCCGCCATCACCGGGCGCGCTGATCAACCGCACACACCGCTACCGCGCGCCGATGTGGTTCGCGTGGGCGCTGATCGTGGCCGGCGGCGGCGCTCCTGGGCACCGTGCACGTGGACACCCCCCGCATGCGCGTGATCGGCTACGAGATCCTGCTGGGCTCCGGCATCGGGATCATCTACGTCGCGGCGTACTTCCCGGTGCTCGCGCCCGATCCCGCCGCGCCAGACGACGCAGGCGCTCGCGTACTTCTTCTTCCTGCGGCAGTTCGCGCTGGTGGGTTGTTTTTTCTTATTTTGAGGGTACGGCTGCTGATTTGTGACAGATCTGGGGCGTCACGATCGGCGGCACGATCCTGCAGAACAAGCTGACGTCGACGCTGCCGGACTCGTTCCTCGCCGAGTTCCCCGGGGGCACGCAGATCGCGTTCGCGATCATCCCGTCGCTGGGCGGCCTGCCGCCGCCGCTGCGCGCGGCCGTGCGGGACTCGTTTGCGCACGCGTTCCGGCTGCTGTGGCGCGTGCTCGCGGGGCTCGGCGGCGCGGGGCTGCTCAGCAGTCTCGTGATGAAGGGGCTAAGGCTGCACACGGAGGTGGACGGGACGTATGGCCGCGAGGAGGGGCGGAAGGACGTGGAGAAGCGGGGATAGATGGAATGATACCACGTAAAATGAACGCTTATGCTTACTATCATGTGTATTAGGCTTTGTTTTTCTCCATGTTGACGAGCCTGCTCGTCACAAGTCACACTTTGTCACCCAGTTTGATTTCCTATTTTAGTTTCCACTTCCTTTTCTAGTTGCCATTTCCTACCTTAGTTTCCATTCCCTATCTTTCCTGACTTTGTTGCTCATTTTCCATTTGATTTTAGTTTCTATTTCATTTAGCCCTTATTTATCTAGTCTATAAAAGCCTGTCCATAGCTAGTAGTTATCATCATCCTCCCCAGTGCTTCCCCTCTCAGTCTTTCCCTTCTGAGTTTGAGTTCTCTTTTGAGTTCTTGAGTTCTTGGTGTTGAGTTTCCTGAGGAGTTTGTTAGCTCTGAAGGCACTTGCACACTTAGTCCTTGTTTGTCTTTTGGCAAGCAAGCACGTCATTTTGGAGCCCACCGCGAGGGGTCTTCAAAACAGCTTCCGAAACTCCTCACTGTTCACCGGACCAACCAAGCCTCCGAACTGTACATTCCGCCGACTACTACAAACTGTACAAATACTCGTCACCTTCCTAAGCCTCAGCCCGACGTCCGCATTTCCCTCCTTCCTGCCACAATCTCCGTCGCGGCGCCCAGCACGCTTTCACCCGCCCGCGATACCAGTACTGCTGAGACCCGATCCCGCTGTCGCACTCCGTTGGTCCGTTTGAGGCAATCCAGCTGCTGTTTTTCGTTTGTCTCGACCTATCTCTCCGAAGCGACCTGTTTGCGCTACTAAGTGGAACACTTGCGAAGGCAAGTGTGATGTCTTGTGACGAGCGGGAGAAGGCAGCTGTCAAGATCTCGTGACTCGCCTCTCCTTGACAGCTGCCTCCATCCTCGACTCCCTACTTCACTTTCTTTTGGTGTGAAGCTGAATCGAAGCGAGAGAGCAAGAGACAAGCCTGGCCCTGAAACAAAGGCCCACTTGACGACGACACACCTTGGTAGTTTCACCACGCCGCGCGCAGGTGTTTCCGATCCCCTCCAACACTGCATCCTCCTCGATTTCGGCATACAATTCCCGCCAGCTGCTGCACACGCCGCGCGACGCGACCCGCACGCCCGTTGGTAGCCTAGACCACCTCCACCCGACTCGCATTTCCGCCATAGGGTTGGCTGCACCACCAGCACTCCCCAGCGTTGACCAACTCTCGAGAAACCCCGTCCTTCATCCCCTTGCGTTGTCCGTGCTTGCCCTTCCTCACCCAGCCGCACATTGCTGCCCTGTGGCGACATTTACGCCGGCCTGCCGTCGTTGCTTCACCAGAGCCGCCGTCTGCGTCCCAAACTCGCGCCCCCCATGGTGACAAGTACTCGTCTGCGCTGCCCAGGTTGCCCAGTCCGCGTTTCCGCCCGGAAAGCCGCCGTCACAGTCGCGTTTCTGTCCGAGCCCCACCCAGAAAACTGTGCTGTATTGACGACGAGTGCGGCAAGCACTCACCGGCGTCGAGAACCCACTAGCCTTCATCTCTGCTCCGGTTTTGCCCTCCTTGCATCTACGCGCCGCCTGGTATTGCTCCTCCACCGACCACGCTCACGCGTTTCTGTCGTAGGCGCCCATAGACGTCCTCTGTGGCTGCAACGGGTCAGAACAAGTCGTTACACATCCACGAGCACTCACCAGCGTCGACTTTCGTTCGAAAACCTCCCCACCGGCCGCCACACTCGCGTTTCGTCCCAGTCGTCCAGAAAAAGGGTTAGCTGCGCCCACAACAAGCCGCTACGCGTCGAGAGCACTCACCACCAGTCCCTCGCTCGCAAAACCCCCCGCGCTCGCATCGCCACCCATTCCTGCCCTCCCGACCCCTCTGCATCGCCCGTTGCCGCAGTCCAGCCCTTTGCCGACTCCCAGAGCTTTCCCTGCCCTTATTTGCCGCGAAAAATCGTGCTTGCTGGCGGCGAGGATGGAAGACAAAAGCAAAATGAAGAGATGTGACCGATGCGTGACGCCGTCCAATACAGCCCGCCCGGAGCTTGACCGGACCGAAGGCCGAAGCTGTGCAAGCAAACACTCCGCCTCCACATCCCACGACTATCCCCGAGCTGCGCCGGGCGACAAGCGATGCTTTAGCAACGGACTCACGCCGCGGTGCTACTCCCCGCTACCCCTGATGATGAATTATTCCCGCGATGCGAACTATACCTGCTGAATTGCCTGTGAGAAATATGATTCTCCACCCTGCGCTGCGACCTTCCCTGCATAAGTTTAAGAAACCTGAGCTGCTTACCCTGCGATCCACGAATTACCCACGCTGCTGATTGAACTTCGAACTGAGAGCCCACCCGCGATATTGTTGCCTGCCTGCCACATTCCCCCCCGAGACGCTGTTTTACGCTGCTGAATTGCTCTCGCCACCACCGCCTTCTACACTTTTGACCGCTTGGCAACTGCTTCTGATCCGGATCAACCTTCTGAACTACATTTCCGCTGTTGCCCTGATTCGCAGGCCCATGTTTGCCTGGTCAGGCAGTGGTGTAGTTGCCTTAGGACTTCCTTTTTGGAAAGTTGCCAGACTTGATGAAGTCTATTGACACTCTCCCCCATTTCTGTTTCACTTTTTACTTTTCTGATTTATTCCTTCAAGTTGTTAGTGTTCTCTTTCCAGTGAGTGACTGGGGACAGTCACTTTTTGAGTTGAGAGGAGGTGACGAGCCTGCTTGTCACAAGTCACACTTTGTCACCCAGTTTGATTTCCTATTTTAGTTTCCACTTCCTTTTCTAGTTGCCATTTCCTACCTTAGTTTCCATTCCCTATCTTTCCTGACTTTGTTGCTCATTTTCCATTTGATTTTAGTTTCTATTTCATTTAGCCCTTATTTATCTAGTCTATAAAAGCCTGTCCATAGCTAGTAGTTATCATCATCCTCCCCAGTGCTTCCCCTCCCAGTCTTTCCCTTCTGAGTTTGAGTTCTCTTTTGAGTTCTTGAGTTCTTGGTGTTGAGTTTCCTGAGGAGTTTGTTAGCTCTGAAGGCACTTGCACACTTAGTCCTTGTTTGTCTTTTGGCAAGCAAGCACGTCAATGTTAATCGCATTGGCCCCCTGGCAGCTACGGGCAAGTATTCCCTGCCATATATTATCCCTTTTGGCGTTTCGTGTAATTTTTCCGCTAAAGTTGTCTCAAAAAGGTAATTGTTCAGCTATGCCAGCACCTCTGGTGCCAAAATTTCTCAGTGGGGATAGCCTGATGAATTCCCAAGTTTGTCAGGCATGTCATGGCCGTTGGACCCTGTTAAATGGATTAAAATATGTCAGTAATCAATTCTAAGCTCTTCTTTCTCTTTTTTTCAAAACGTAACCAGGAAATGTTTATTACCCTTCAAAACTCCAAACGGTAGGCTCTCTGACAGCCTTTACTAGACTTCTGACACCTTACCAATTTGTAAAATTGTGATACAAAGCATTATCTTGCTTTTTACAGGGTAAGATAATCCCATCAGTCAGATAAACACATGCTATATCATATTTTATGTTTATATAGCTTTCTAAAATTTTAGAACAGATGACTCCTACTCTGTAGCAACAACATTCTCAGTCATCTGTTTCCTAGCTGCGTTAAGGATATGTAGTAAAATATTTGCTTCATAAACTTGACCTAGTTTGTCATGAAGATGTATCACATTTTCCATTGTAAAAATTGTTATCTTGTCAGTGAGTCCTACTGTTTGGATCTGCTCTGCCAGCACTTGTTCTTGTAAGTCTAAGGCTGCACGAGCCTTCTCAAACTTCCCCAGATTGATATATGTAGCTGCAAGATTTCCCCTCGCAGCTACTGCTCCATAACTTGCCTGCCCAAGAGTCTGATTCTGATTAGATAAGATCTTCTCCTGTATATCACAAGCTTCCTGGTACCTCTCAAGCTCAGAGTATATCAAGGCCAGATTTGTCTGTGAAGCAATGGTTTGAGAATCATGCCATCCAAACTTTTCAACTTGTATAATTGCTACCTGCTCTTGTAACATCAATGCCTGATCCCATTTCCCAAAATGAGCATAAGTATTTGCAAGATTTGTTCTTGCAGCCATGATATGGGGATGCTCTGGGAATGGAAAAGTTTTTTCATATTGCTTTAATATATGCTCTTCTATTGTCATGGCTGTCTCAAAATCACCTAGTTTCTTGTAAGTGATAGCAAGATTGCCTTGAATAGACAGTGCTTGAGGAGATTTTGGTCCTAATTTTTGGGACAACTGTGCAAATATCTCTTCTTGTATAACCAAGGCTTCATTTAGCTTTCCCATACCGACATAAATATTTGCAAGATAAATTTTTGCAATATAGGTATTTTCCTGTTCAGTACTTTTCTTGACAAGCTGCTTCTGTAACATCAATGCCTCATCCAATTTACCAAGTTCGTAGAGTATCAAGACAATCTGTGCCTCTGATTTTATAGTATCTGGATGTTTTTCTCCTAAAATATCTGTTTGAGATAGTAGAACCTCTTCTGCAAGGGAGAGTGCATTATCAAATCTATGCAATGAAGAATATGTCACTACTAAACTGTGTTTTGCAGACAGGGTTTGGGGATGCATAGGACCCAAGGTGTTATGCAGCTGCTTAATAAGATCCTGCTCTAGTTCCAATGCTTTATCAGATCTTCCGAGATCTCTGTATATAACAGCAACATTCCTTCTGAGATTGACTGTGGTAGGATGGTGAGGACCCAGAGCTTTAGTACTCATCTCTATGGCATGCTCTTGAATCTCTAAGGCTCTGGATGACTCACCAAGAATATTGCATATTATAGCAAAGTTGCTAATAGCAGAGGTTGTTATAGGATGCTCTGAACCTAGTATCTGAATAAATTCCATTGCCACTCTAGCCTGATGCTCTAGAGCTGTCTTGAACTTGCCAAGCTTCTGGTATGTAGCCGCCAAGTTGCCTTCCGCATGTAGTGTATCTAGGTGCCTTGAACCTGATACTTTGCTGAACTGCTTAAAAACCTCTTCCTGCAAGACTAAAGCATGATAATATTTGCCAAGATTATAATAGGTTAGAGCCAGATCACCCTTTGTGCAGATCATTTCATCTTGGTCTGCCTTCATGATGCTAGAGCCTTTCCTGAATGCACATATAGCCAACAAGTGTGCCCTATCAAAAGAACCAGTGCCAGTGAAGACTTCCATAAATCTCATTTGAAAAAGATAGGGTATAGTGTTATAATCATCAGTGATCTGTGCTACATGAGAGGCCAAGATAAGCTTGAATTTATAATCTGGATTGGTGGAGGCAGCCATTCCCAACAGATGGATTACAAGCTTGTGTTTAGTTGGAATATCTTCCTGAATTATTTTCAATCTGGTCCACTGGTGAATAAGTGGATGCATGGAGTATTCACCATCCAAATAGCTCATGAGTGAATATTGACAAATGACTCTTGTAACTTCTCCAAATGCCTCCTCATTCCAGTTCTTATTTTCATCTTGGAAATGGGCAAGAAAATCAAGGCTGGAGGCCAACTGTGTCTCTGTGATGTAGAGAATATCTTCCTTTGAGAACATATGAAGTAGACCAGTGGATTGTACCAGCATTTTCACATATGACCAACAGCCTGAATTTCTATGATATTTAGGTATTTGTGCTTGATATTCTGCAGCCCTGATAAATATACTTTCTGTAATCTGGTTAAAGTGAAGAAATGAACAGAGCTTCAGAAACTCTTGAGCAAGAGGTGGTAGTTGTTCAAAGCTCATTTGCCAGGTAGTATAAACTGTGAGAGTATATTCCCATGCAGTTTGTTGTGGCAGTTGCTTCCAGAATCTGACTTTATCTTTTCTGTACCTTAAAAGATACTTTGAAGGGTCTTGTTGTATAACTGGATCCTGAGCAATATATGATGCAGCCTGGACAATGGCCAATGGAAAGTAGTGGAGCTCCTAAAAAACATGAGTCTATAATAATTATTGTAATAAAAAAGTTAATATACTGTTACAATCTCCAAGATCTCCTTGTGTTTATCTGGTGATAATCTGCCAATGCTTGTCAAAAGATCAAAAGCATCATTTGGGGCCAAGTCTGATATTTCAAAGGAGGTTCCTTCAGGTCCAAGAAGCATTTTGATATCTGGATTGCGGGATGTGATTATGATATTGCCATAAGCACCTCTGGGAAGATAATTCCCTAAGTTGAGGCTAGGATTGTCTGCATTGTCAAAGAGCATCAGCCATTCAGTTGCATTACTCCTGAGCCACATTTGAGCTGCAGCAACAGGATGAGACCCTGTTAATTTCTTGGCCACAGCAAACTCTTTGAAGCTTGCTTCAATAGTATCTTGAGTTGCAGCATCCACCTTGAATTGCTCTGTGAATCTGATGAGTCATCAGTCAGAGGAATAGCTCATTATTGAAACAATTATACCGTGATCCTGAGTCGGAAATGAATTTGAGTGCTGTCTCTGTTTTCCCAGCTCCCCCAATGCCATGAAGAAGCACAATCTTCTGACCACCCTCACTTGTTGTTCCAAAATAATCCCTGAGGCTTCTGAGCAGATCCTGCCGCCCACAGAAGTATGCAGATGGTGCTGGACATCCATGGTATGCAGCGACTTCTGCTGCTAAAAATCAGATATATTAGCGGATTCACAAGTCTGGATGATAGTCCTTACATGGCGCACTGAGTAAACATCAGTTGTCATATCAGATCAATTGATCAATCATCAAGATTGTAACCACATACAGCTCAAATGTAGCATGCTTAGCACGGACAGTAAGGCTCGGTCCATAGGCTGTGCCACCTGTCCCGCCTACCCCTTGTGCAGGCCCACCAGCGCCACCGATGCCCCCTGCAAGTTTGTATAAGTCCTCATGGTGCCATTGGCAGTGAACATCACAGTGTGGCATACCACTGATATTCATATACACATTCTGCTGGTGAAAAGGCAAATTGGTTAGCCAAGAGCTCATGTAGGCTTGGGTGGTGGTAGTTGTAAGGAAGGAGGGAATGCAGTACAAGGTGCTGCCTTGGTGTTGGACAGCAGGATGAATGATATCCGCACAATCTCCTACTTACGATCTGGTGTATCATTCAACCGGTTGACACTGGCAGATCTACCCATTCAACTTATTTGTGGCTGTCATAATGATTCAAGCTGAATGACCCGACTTTAGGGTTCTGCGCTTTAACACCATTCTCCGTAACCTTGATCCACAACCCATCCTGCGTCGACATCGTCATTTGCGGTTTCGGGCGGAACCGCCCTTCAGGCCCGCACACGCCTTCCACTGGTATGCGTCCGGGGGCAGTGCCCCGGCGCAAACGCGCACTCGTCGAGCGCAACCGCGGCGAACGCCTGCATGAAGCGCACGAGCATGAGCGCCATCTCGTTGTACGCGAACTGCTGACCGAGGCAGATGCGCGGGCCAGTGTTGAACCTGGTGCGGGATGTCCGGGAAGCGGACGGCAAACAAGGGAAGGCACGCACGGGAGGAACTGAAATGTGAATGCGTTCTTGAGAATGGTATGGCACTTCACGCGGTCGTCGAGGAAGCATTTCCTCCCGCGCACGGCGATAGATGTCGGGGTACATGGTGAAGCTGCCAGCGGATAGATATCAGCTGTGGAAACAGGTATAAGCGAAATACGCACAAGTAGCCGCAGACGGCGAGAGTATGCATGGTAGTGTCACGTCTGGCTAGTAAGCGTTAGCGGTGACCGCAAACTCCCAGGGACTTGTACCCAACAACATATTCAGCCTTGGAATGAATCAGTGATGGCCACAAGCAGGGGAACAATTGGCGCACATCTCATCCTTCAACACCTGCGCTCTGCCCAGACGTGGTGGCGGCTTGGGCGTGGAGCAGCGTGAGAGCTCGTCCCGGGATGCGGGACGAACTCCGGAGCTGCGGTGCAGCAACGGCGAAGGATCGGCGGCAGAGACGCGGCGTGGTCGGCGGGGAATCAGCCTGTAATCGACGACAGTCGTGGCCGTCACGGTGGCCGCCTCTCAACGGAACGTTCGCCGATTTGACCTTGTTCGGCGACGTATACGTATCGGCGGTCGGAATTCGGGGTCGACGCACAGTGAATGGACCCCCCCCCTGGCACCCGCGTATTATTCGTCGACGCGGCGACGACATGAGTAACTCATGCAGGAAGTGGTCAGTGCCGGACAGCGCCATCATGAACGTTGCTTCCTCCGGCGGAATCGCGAGGAGACTAACCATGGGGCAACATGGGGGAGAGAGATGAAGAGCCGATGACGTGTGACCGTGTGACCGTGACCGTACGTATTTTTTATGACCATTGACGTGGGAAGCGTAGGTATACGGTACTTCAAATAGCTCAGATAAAGCTCGGCGGGCGGGCGTCGATGTTATCATCCGAGCTAGCCAGATCCGTAGAGCCCTGAGTCGCAACGAGCCGCTGTATATGTGGAGGGAGAAGGAGAGTCACGCGTGACGGCACGCGTTGTTGACAATCACGCGAGCCGCAGGTGACGTGGCGCTGACTCATACAATCCATGCTTGACTCTCTCCACCACATCGACCTCGGTGTTGTCGCCGACGGCCCCGGCAACGATCCTCTCGAGCCTGATCACCCCAGCCGCGCTAATCCCACTTATATGCGTCGATTGCGGCCATCGTCGGGCACGCGTTACTAAAAACGGCCTTTAGAGTGCATTTAACGCGTCAAGCTGGCGTGTCAACTTGAAGCTCTTCCCCACCATGCGGCTCCCCATCGCATTACATCTGGCCGCCCTCCTCCCACCTGCCCTCTCCCTTCCACCATCGACCCTCGCTGTCATCGCCCGCACCGACTTCGACTACATCATCGTCGGCGGCGGGCCCTCCGGACTCACGCTCGCCAACCGGCTCTCCGCGGACCCCCGCAAGCAAGTCCTCGTGCTTGAGGCAGGCCAGTCTCGGCTCGGCGACCCGCTCATCGACGTCCCCGGCTTCCTCGGCAGCACGGTTGGGAACGCATCGTACGACTGGCTCTTCCGGACGGTCCCGCAGGCACATGCCAACGGAAATCGATTCGTGATGGACCGCGGAAAGGTGCTGGGCGGGTCAACGGCGATCAACTTCATGGCCTGGGGTCGGCCAGCAAAGGGCGAGATCGACGGTGCGCGGCCCGGTGAAGAAGGGCTATGCTGTCCAAGCGAGGACAGCGATGGGGCCGAGGTCGTATCGAGATATGCGCTGGTGGTGGAGTAGAGGGTGTGAAGAGATAAGATAAGCTGTACTCAGCTCGTGAATCAAATGGAGGGTTCGGGCTCGACTTTGCGCTTTCGCTCGCGCTGCTCAAACTCAGAGGTGAGAGTGGAAGGTAAGATGAGATGATTCTCCTATCCGAGTACAGTGAAACGGTATCTACTGATCGGAAGGGGTAGCGAGATGACATATGAAATATGAGTACATACAGAGGCCGAGATCCTCCACCTGGTTCCCAACCACACACAACAGCCGGGTTGAGGACAAGTCGAATAGGATGGCGACGCTGCCGCCGTCAGCGCTAACAACAGGTTGACCAGACCTGTGTTATTGCACACCCAAGTCCCGCCGAGCTATTGCACGCCGCTGTGAGTTCGGTTTTGGATATTGTGGAATATGAAGATATGGAAATTGGAGAGGGAGATGAGAAGGGGATGGCTGTTAACGCCCGTAAGAGCTTGACGCGTGATAAGTACGTGATCGCGTTGGCGACGTGGAAGCCATATGGCACTTCCACAGAGGGGGATACTTTGGATGACGCCCCCGTCATCGCCGTATTAATTCGATGGATGGAGACAATAGGGTGGAATGGGGTATCGGAACTGCTGGATAGATTCGGACGCTCGCGAGCGAATGGCGTCTTGATAAACTTCTGCCCTCTTCGAGGCGTCGAGATACCACGTCTGGTGCATCGCTTGGACGATACGAGCGAGTTCGGTTGGCGCAACTTGATGGATGACAACCGACATGTTCATCGGGTCGTAGCACAGGCAAATCTTGATGGCCTGCTCCCAGTCGTCGTGTCGAGTCTGTACGAAATGCCCAGAACCACGTTCGCGAAGGGGTGGTTCGAGGTAAGCAGTTTCGCGGCGACGATCCTCGTGAATGAATCGACTCACCTGTTGCATGAACTTCTCCGCATTCATAGGATGATTTTCGCCTCCGTCCACTCGCAAGCGAGGCGGGTATCGAGAGGGAATTTCACCCCAGCAAACCGCGGCGTTGATTTCGATCCATGTGAGCCGGTAGTCCCGACGATAGACATAAACACAAATGGGAAGGTTGACGAACTCACCTCCTAAATTGTACTCTTGGGAATCCTCGTAACAATACTGCAAAGCCAAGTCGGTCCGTTCGTATGACGTGTACGGATGGTTGTCGACAAACTCGTTGATGACAGTCCGGTCGCGCGCTGCATTGTCGTAGGGGACGCGGCAAGTGGGGAGCTCCAAGCCAGCGGTCTTCGGTTGGGTGGAACCCTCGATGGGTGCGGTTACACGGCTCGCGCTCCATGAGGCTGGGTGATGGGTAGAGAAGACAAGGGGGAAGGAAAGGAAAGGAAGAAAAGGGGGGAAAGAGTCGGGTATAAATGCTCCGATTGACTGAATCGAGGCTGTGAGCGATCGAGAATCAATTTGAAAACTCAGCTTTAATTTCCGTGATCCGCGACATAGCCACGTCGTACCGAAGGTCCGGATTTTCGGCTTGGCGGATCGGCGCAGCCAGTTTTGTCTTGAGAGTTTGGTTGTCGGGCCGGAAATAGAAGAGTCGGAGTCGCCGAATGTTAACGTGGCCGCGGAGGATTGCACCACTAAGCTCGCGCAGAATGAATGAATCGTTAGCCCGCTTTTCGTGTATGATATATGGGCCCGCATAGGTCCACTTATCTTTGTCGCCCTTGGTCTCGTCCAACGCCGACTCGCGCAGCCACACATACATCCCGACCTCATAGTCTTTGAAGTCGAAGTGGTAGTGGTTCCTCTTGTGAAGGTCGTCGATGGCGCGGCGTCGTGACTCGCGGAGTTTGGCGTTGGCCTCCGCCATCTTTGGGTCCCGTCGCTCGAGTTGGCGCGCGCGCATAGCAATCAGGTCGTCATGCGTGAAGACCGCGTCCCAATCGAGGGTCTGCCATGTGATTTCAGCCAGATCGTATGAGAATAGCGGGTGAACACCATAGAGCAAGAAATAGGGCGTGAAGCCCGTGGCACGTGAGACCGTGACGCGGATCGCGAGCAGCACAGGGTAGACGTATCGGGGCCAGTTACCCTTCTTGTCACCGCAGAGCTTGTAGAGCGCGCTGACAAGCGGCTGATGGGAGCGTTCGACTCGCCCGTTGCCTTCGGGGTGATACGCTGTTGAGAAGATGATGCGGCAGTTGTACTGCGTCTGCAGAAGCTCTTGCACCTCGCCTTTGAACTCGGGGCCGCCATCAAAGGAGATAATGGGGATGCCCCCGAACCTGCAGATGAGGACCTCGTAGATGAACTTGGCCACGTAGTGAGAGGTGAGCGACTTAACAGGACGAGCTTCTGGCCAGCCTATTGTTGACTCGATGGCATGTATGAGGTATTTGAGTCCGTTTAGGCCTTCGCGCATGTGAATACAGTCAAGTTCAAAGTGTCGAAGGAGTGGTGATTGCCAGGATTCGTTGAACGGCAAGTGGGGAATGCGCTTGATTGATTTTTGGCACTCGATGCAAGATCTGACAAAAAATGAAATGTCAGAGTACATGTTCGGCCAATAGAATCGGTCACGTAGCTGCGCGTAGACAGCATCACGTCCTCTGTGGCCGCATTCTATATGAGCTTGGGCCATAAGTTCTCCGCGCTTCGACTCCACATCGATAACCAAGCGCGGTAAACGCTCCGAGTTCTTCTTCGGCGCCAGCCAGAGCCTGTCCTGGTGAAAAAGGAAGCGGCGAGCTCGTTTAATGAATTGTGACTTAGCTCGGTTATCGGAACATCGCTGGGGGTACTCTCCATCCCGCAGAAACCTGCGCAGCTCTATCCAGAGCTCGGGCGAATCATCGTCCGGAACGCCGTGGCGATGGCCCTTGTTGATCTCGGATTCCTGAGAAACCACTTCAGCGAGGGGGATACTTTGAGAGTATCGCTCGCTCGCTGTATATGTAAGCAGCACGCGTTCGTCTCCGAGTAAGAATAGAGACTCAACTTCGATAGGTCGACTTCGTTGGAAGAACTCAGGTAATTGTCGGGTGTCGTCATCTTGCGTACGCGATTGCGCGGCGATCAAAAATGATCCCCGGCCGGCCGGGTCAAAGGCCGGACTTGTCTTCTGGAGTTGGGGCAGGCGAGGTACCGCGGTCGACAACGACTGGCGGTAGATGGGCATTTGCTCGTCGGCGTCTCGCCAATAGGTGTCTGTGATGTGTCGCAGTTGGTTGTAGTAGATATCAAGAATGGACTTAGCTTTTCCCGCTGTCTCGGCCAGTGTTGCGTTGAGCATAGCGTCTAGCACTTCTTCAGAGTCATCGGGTTGATCATAGTGCTGATCTTCAGGTGCTGGCGGGCGTCGCGACAGGGCATCTTCGAGTTTGAAGGACTCGGCTCGTACGTGGTTCCACTCGAAGTCGAATAGGCGTATATATGCAACCCATCGCAACATTGGCGCGTTCGGAACGTCGTCTGGGGCTGAAATCATTTTAGCTAGCGATGTTGCGTCATACTCTAGGCGAAAATGTACTCCCCAGAGGTAATGACGCATTTCCTTGAGCGCTCGGAAGAGGCCGTAAACCTCTGTCTTTGGCTGGCCGTAATTCGCTTGGGCCGAGCCAAACGTGCATGACCCATATATTGCGGGATGCTTCTCGCCATCGCGGACCTGGTACACAAAACCCAGCCGGCTCCCATCCAGGAGGAATCGCAGCCGAAGACCAGCAGGCCCTCGTCACTTTCGCGGGGTTGGCGTGGAATGGTGCGGGCCGCATCATAGTCGAGTCGGATAAGTACGGGGGTGGTGGTAACTCGTTGTTTGAGGATGTCGATGGCTTCTCTTGCCTCGTCGTTCAGCTGAAACTCAGTAGTAGGGTTTCGCAATAAAGCAGTGAGTGGCTTAGCTATTAATGCGAAGCCCCGTATCCAACGGCGGCTGCCTCCGGCAAGGCCGAGGAAGCTTCTGAGCTCAGAGATTGAGGTGGGTAGTGGCCAATCCAAGACGCGCTGGACCAGTTTGGGCGCTATTTTCCAGCCTTCGAGCGATACGACAGTGCCGACGATGTGGAGATCGAGTGCCGCCAACACTGTCTTAGCGCCAGAAGCTGTAATACCAGCTGCAATCAACGTACCGAGAAAATCATCCAAGTTCTGCGCATACTCCCACACAAATCGTCGTATGTGCGGATTTCCCTGTATCGGTTCGTCATTATAGCGGCTCATGGGCCCTTTGATGCCGGCGTCGTCGAAGAAGGCACGCGTTTTGTGCGGGGCGATCGGTTTGAGTGCGTGGTCAAATCGGCGGTTGAACTCGTTGGGTGCATTTGCATAGCCGTGGGCCATCGTGACTTGTTGTTTCGGACCCAGCGGTGAGTGAAAAGACTGCATTGCCCGTGAATTCTCGTGAATCCAAACGGCGTCAAAACCTGAAAAGAGATCGGCAATTCCATATATCGCGTAACCAACAAACGACTCAGCGAATTCGTTAATGTTGGGTACCATCGCAGCATCGAGGATGGTGACGGCGTTGAGAGGCTCAAGATTGAGGATGACACGGACCGGAGGGTCCGAACCTGGTTTCTTTGCGACTGGGAACATAGCGCATCGATATGATGAGACGCTGGGTTCAAACCGTCCGTCTCGCTCGCCATCCGCGATTACCTTTCGGACAGCTGGCTCGAGGGCGCGTGGGATGCGGATTGGAGCTGCTTGCCAAGGAGTGTGCTCGATAACCGGAAACTCATAGTCCGGGTAGTAGGGTTACTACAATGAAAGCGAGGAGATTCCTCTCTTCCTCGCTGAGTATCCCTGGCTGAATATTTGCAAGCATCGCCTCGAGCCGTTCGCGGGTGACGCGTTGTCCATATGGCAAGATCTTGTAGTCTGGTGGATTTGTCGGGAGGGCTGTCGGCTTGGCGCGGGGTATTTCGCGGAAGAGGTGCTTCCGCGGGTCGGGTTGATATGTCGGAACAGGTCGTATCTTGCGCGCAACGGGTTTGTACTTTCTCTTGGAGACGATTGGCGCCTTGGCGCCGGCGCTAGTGGTGTAAG